CCACATGAATTTCACACTATAACCTTTCAGCTGTATCTCAGTTATTCTTCTCTTACAGTCCTCCACTATAGACATGAAGACTGGGTTTCGACTGTTTAAGGACTCCAGTGCTCCTCGGCTATCGACAAATACAAAAACATTTTTGTCGTCATGACGTACTTCCTCCAAACACGCCAGAATGGCCTGCAGTTCAGCTTGTGTGGATGATATATAATTACTAAGCCGGAGTTCAATTATCCTGTCCACAGTCCCAAACTCCGTATAATCCCTTATTAGGACACCACACCCTGCCCTGCCATCCTCCGCCACCGACCCGTCGCAATATACATGTAAACTGTTGCCTCTTGGTAACCGAGATATCATGCTTCCATACAAACACCGTAATTGTCCCGGTTCATGATGAATCTTTTTCACCTTGAGGGGTACAATTTCGACGTCTATTTTCTGTACTTTCCAGGGAGCAGACATATTACACTGTCGAGAGGGTTTACAGCAGTCAAGTACGTCGTATTCCCTGAGGTCATGAGCTAATCCTCTCGTATAGCGTGTCTCCCTCAGTTTCCTGGAAGTGTGTACGTCACTCAAGCAGGTCTGAACGCTCTCAAACAGCTTATCCCCTCCTTTTCTCCGCATGAAACGAATAGATACTCTAGTGTTAATGTCACGGACTCTATCACACACACTCTGTAAATTTAATTCCATTCTCATTATTTCAATCATTGCATTTCTTTGACATCCAAGAATAATCCTCATAGCCTCGTTCTGTATCAGCTCTATTTTTTGAATTCTGCCTTGGCCTGTGTAAGACAATACGGGTGCTGCGTAGTCTATCAGGGATCGAACAGTGCTTATGTATAACATCCGCAAGATAGGTACCCCAACACCTTTACCAGAAAAAGCCAGTGCTTTTAGAGGATGCAGACGGGCTTTACATAAGGTGCTGATATGATTTATTTCAGCATTTTTACTCTCACATGTGTATCCAACATACATGCCCAGATACTTGTACTTCTGTACACGGCTCAGTTCCACACCATTTAGAGTAAGTGTTATATTTCTTCGTTTCCTATACTCGTATTTGGTTTTATCTGCATTTATAACTAAGCCTAACTTGTGACAGGTTGTACCAAGTATGTTAAGAGCATCTTGAATTTTGTTCCCAGAAGTGCCTTGTATAAGAATGTCATCAGCATATATGATCGTCGTGACCCCTGGAGGATACATCTCTGATGCTAATCTGTTCATTAATACATTGAATAAGGTGGGACTTAATACTCCCCCTTGTGGGGTACCTAACTGAAACCTCCGTTCCTCAGACATGTATCCCTGGTAATACACCTGACCTTTTCTGCCTTGTAGATAATCCCTTATCCAGTGTAGCAATCTCCCTGTTATTCCCAGATTGGCTAATTCGTATAAGATTACTTCCCCATTGGCTTTATCAAATGCTCCTTGTAGATCAACAAAAACTCTACAATTGTCATCCACATTAGACAAACACTTTAAGAGACAATCCGCAGTACTTTTGCCTTTGATAAAACCAAAGAGATTACTGGACATGTTATCACCTACAAGGTAGAGTAGCCTATTTAACAAAATCCTTTCCATCATTTTACAAAAGCAGGATATTAAGGAGACAGGTCTGTAGCCTCCGTTTGACTTAGGGATAGGAATGATGACAGCCTCTTTCCATTTTCTTGGTAACTTTCCCTCTCTATAACTCATATTAAACAAATCAAGTAAGGGATTAGGTTTCATACCGGCTAAATAATTAAGTATGTCATACGTTACTCCATCTTTTCCCGGAGCAGTGGAGCTGCCACTTTTTATAGCATCCAGTAGCTCATCGTGGGTTATCTCAGTGCATGTTATAGATCTTGTATTTAAGGCACATAAAGTTACTCCATTTCTAATATTTTCCCATGACTCAATGGTGACTCTCGTGTCTGCAGGTAAGGACTCCATACCAGCAGCACTTGCCCATTTATCTACTAACTCATTAGCAACTTTCCCTGGATCTGAGTGAGCAATGAATTTGGTCTTACAACCCCTGATTTTGTTTACTGCTCTCCATATGTCTTTAAGGTTCTTAGTATTACCAATGGACTGAGCAAATTCTTGCCAGTATCTGTCCCGCGCCTCCTTCCTCACCTGACTGCATTCCCTAGCCACTTCCAACATTGTATTTTTCTCTTCATCCCTCATTCCATTTTTTAACCATGCTTTATGCGCACTCCGTAGCATTCTCTCCCATCCCTTGACTTGCTGATCATTGGAATATTTAAATTTCTTAGGTCCGTGCGTCTTGCTTCCCCTGCCCCCGTTATTTTCCCTCTGTACTAATTTCTCTATGTTCTCGACCATGTCCTCGTAAAAACTATCAACGCAGAGCGGCGTGTAATGTTGATACCAATCTCCCATATTTTGAATAAAATAATTTTTCATATCTTTATTAATATTTAGCCTTTTCCTTTGAAAGTGGACTTGTTTTTTCCCCAGTGGTAATTCAACGTTCAAGGCAAAGTGGTCACTAAGTAGTTCCCGAACAACCCGAGCCTCCCCCATAATCCCCTGAGAGTTTAAAACGCAGGCATAGTCAAGCCGTCCTCCCCTGATGTGAGTTGGTTCATTGTTTCCCAAGAGACAGGTATCTGGATGATCTTGTAGAAACTGTAACCACTTGACCCCATTAGCATTAATACTACCCACTGACCCAAGGCTTGTGTGCCGAGCATTAAGGTCCCCAATGACCAGTGAAGGATTAGTATAAATGCAGTCAGGTAAATAGTTAGCGTCGAAGCAGTTCCTGGATACATACAAATTAACTACAATAAATTCCCCTTCCCTTAATGATAATTTAACACAGACACTCTCTATACCTTGCGTTTTTGATGGCGGTTCTACTAACTCTGCTGGTATGGAGTTCTTAACATAAATCGACGTGCCTCTGATGTTATTTGCAGCGAAGAGGTGAAACCCTTTATAGCCATTTAATTTCAATAATCCTTCATTCCTATCCCCTGTCTCTTGGAGAGCTACAACATCAATATCATTTCCCATCACATAACAATGAACATCTGTAACCCTGTTTCTTAAACCATTAACATTCCATGACAACACTTTCAGTCTAGGGTGATCCATTATTAATCAATTCATTGCCTAAGTCGTCCCTGTCCTCAACCACTATATCCTGACTATCCTTCACCGTTTTGTGATTTTCCTTGACCTCCTGAACGTTTAATTTAGCCTCGATGGACTCGATTCTCTGCCCCAGATTTTGGAGGAACTCACCAACTTTTTTAAGTTCAGCCCACACTTCCTTGACCATATTATTATGACCCTCTTTCTGAGCCACAGTAGCCACTTCACTCACCTTTACACTGTCACTGCCGGAGTCCTGAGTGATGGCGTGGCTGCTTGTTGCTGGAGCCTGCCTAAGTAAAGGTGACTCCTTTACCCACGCATTCGTCCGGTTCACTGGCACTGTTTGGGGCAGACTGTTTTGCTGTGCTCCCGGTGTCTGGGTAAGAGCTCTTGCTTGCTCTGTAACATTCACCGGCCGGAGAACAGCCATACTCGGCCTCTTGCTACACACAGCCGAGCTCGCATTGTGAACACCTCCACAGTTGCAGCATCTGGGAACTATTTTCTCACCCAGATTCAGTCTGTTTCTACACACAGTAGAGAGGTGAGACTTTCCGCAGAAACGACATCGTGGATCATTTTGACAGCTCCAGGATTTATGCCCCCATCTGCAGCATTTCAGGCATATTATGGGCTCTTCCACATACTTTGCTACATGCCTGTAGCCAGCCCCGGTGATGAACACTTTCTCGGGTACGTCACCTCTCACTAGAGCCACCACCTGACTCCTAGCTTCACCTTTAATAAGGTGACGCTTGGCCCACACAAATCGTTGGTCGTCGAGTATAAACTCGGGGTCCAGAATCTGAGGGTATTTATAGATAATTACCTTCGTCAGCTTCTCGTTCCCCTCCGGTATTTCCATAAGAATTAGTCCCATCTACCCGGAGCAGCTGGTTTTAAGGCGCCAGAGGCACGCCCTCGCCCCTTCTCCTGTCGGTAAAAGCAGTTCCGCCGGACTTAAAGACTAAGCCACCCGTGCAGGCCAGGAGTTGGACTTGGTTGTCAGAGGCTATTGAAGACGCATGCCGTATAGGAGCATTTTATAGGTCATGGGAGCTCGTCCCCCATTACCACCCCCCTGGCTATGACAACCCCTTGGAACCAATGCTGGCTTAAGTGAGTGAATACCTCACTTCTCAGACACTGATTTACCTCATGCCTTTCAAATAGGTCGGGAGTTGGTACAAAAGACAGCCGACGGTTAGAAAGGCAAGAGTAAACAGTTAGATCCTGTAGGCACAAATAGTAAAAACACACATATATACAGACGAGGAGTCACAATAACGTGGCTGAAGTATGTTGACCAAACCACACACTAGAAAGTGAAGGGACGACAACGTTTCGGTCCGTCCTGGACCATTCTCAAGTCGATTGTAAAGAGGGAATGATTGATAAAGATTAAGCCACCCAAGAGGTGGCACGGGCATGAATAGCCCGTTAATAGTGAAGAAGGAAGGAGGTGAAGGCAATAAATAGGCAAGAGAGGTGAGGAGAAGAAAATCTTAAAGGAAGAAAAAGCAAGGCAAAAGAGAATAGTCCAGGACGGACCGAAACGTCGTCATCCCTTCACTTTCTGGTGTGTGTTTTGATCAACACACATATATATGTGGTTGTATGTAAAACCAAGATTCATTTACTAGTGTTTACGTTACGGTGTCGACTTTCTACTTGCTAATTGCGGAACTCAACTTACTGGCAAGGTCTTCAATAAGGCAGTGTTCAATTCGATGCGTTGTTTTGATTATCTCGGGTGGGCGGTTGAGCCGGCCCTGTTAACCAGGGAGGTCCCTGCTACCAGGAGAAGGGGCCGGTAGGTCACGCCCAGACACCAGTTATCCGGTCTGAGTGCCAACATGTTAGACTACCGCGTGTTCTCCATCATGAAGGGAACACCAGGGACCCGTACGCGCCACACAGTAACGAGGTTGGCTGTAATTAAAGTCTTTTTCATTACTCTTGGTATAACGCGGCCCTCACTCTGGCGAGCTGGTATTGGCTGGGTCGTGGGGGCGTGCTTGTCTGGGGTGAGGCAGGTCGTGGGGGTGTGCTTGTCTGGGGTGAGGCAGGTCGTGGGGGCGTGCTTGTCTGGGGTGAAGCAGGTCGTGGGGGCGTGCTTGTCTGGGGTGAGGCAGGTCGTGGGGGTGTGCTTGTCTGGGGTGAGGCAGGTCGTGGGGGTGTGCTTGTCTGGGGTGAGGCAGGTCGTGGGGGTGTGCTTGTCTGGGGTGAGGCAGGTCGTGGGGGTGTGCTTGTCTGGGGTGAGGCAGGTCGTGGGGGTGTGCTTGTCTGGGGTGAGGCAGGTCGTGGGGGTGTGCTTATCTGGGGTGAGGCAGGTCGTGGGGGTGTGCTTGTCTGGGGTGAGGCAGGTCGTGGGGGTGTGCTTATCTGGGGTGAGGCAGGTCGTGGGGGTGTGCTTGTCTGGGGTGAGGCAGGTCGTGGGGGTGTGCTTGTCTGGGGTGAGGCAGGTCGTGGGGGTGTGCTGGTCTGGGGTGAGGCAGATCGTGGGGGGTGTGCTTGTCTGGGGTGAGGCAGGTCGTGGGGGTGTGCTTGTCTGGGGTGAGGCAGGTCGTGGGGGTGTGCTTGTCTGGGGTGAGGCAGGTCGTGGGGGTGTGCTTATCTGGGGTGAGGCAGGTCGTGGGGGTGTGCTTGTCTGGGGTGAGGCGGGGGTGTGTACGCGGGGTGTTATCACGTAGACCACTCAGACCGACGCCTGGGCTTCCTCACGACGTAACCCCCAACAGTTCAGTAACTTTCGGGTTCCAAGTTACTGTTAGGTAAACAGAGACATCAGGTGTAAGAAAATGTGACCAAACGTCTTCTGCACGGGAGTCGAACCAGACACCATTCTGTTATGAACCTGCACTGACCACTGCCATATAGCACATCTCACTCTCCACTCCATGTAAACATTCACCCACCCAGTGATGTAAAGTCATCCACCCAGTGATGTAAAGTCATCCACCCAGTGGTGTAAAGTCATCCACCCAGTGATATAAACAGTCATCCACCCAGTGATGTAAAGTCATCCACCCAGTGATGTAAAGTCATCCACCCAGTGATGTAAAGTCATCCACCCAGTGATGTAAAGTCATCCACCCAGTGATATAAACAATCATCCACAAAGTGATATAAACAGTCATCCACCCAGTGATATAAACGGTCATCCACCCAGTGATATAAACAGTCATCCACCCAGTGATATAAACAGTCATCCATCCAGTGATATAAACAGTCATCCACCCAGTGATATAAACAGTCATCCACCCAGTGATATAAACAATCATCCACAAAGTGATATAAACAGTCATCCACCCAGTGATATAAACAGTCATCCACCCAGTGATATAAACAGTCATCCACAAAGTGATATAAACAGTCATCCACCCAGTGATATAAACAGTCATCCACCCAGTGATATAAACAGTGCAAAAGCAAGCTCACACCAAAAAAATATAATAGAGTAAAGCATCAAATAAAGGAAAAACAAAAGAAAGATTTTCCCATTCCCCAGAAGGAGAAAATCTAAGTCGTTGCGACAGCGGGAGGAAGCCTGGCTTATTGCCCGCGACATCTTTCCGCTAAGATCAGCGAGAGGCTAAAAGTCTTTTTAAACAACAAAGGGAAAAGTTTCTTTGTCCTCCACATGTATGAAATTGTCTCTAGCCGGAGATAGGGGCTTTAGAATGGGGGGGTTGGGAGTTTAAACATCAGTAGGGGGTGGGAGATAGGGATCTGGTATTATTGGGGTGGGAAAGAGGGCGCCAGTAGGGGGTGAAATATAGTGCGTCAATAAGGTACGGGAAATAGGGCGTCAGTAGGTGTAGGTGATAATACATCATCTTAGTGTTGGCCTTCGGCAAATGTGGCTCTCCGCGTCAATAACAAAGTCCTATTCTAGGTCATGGAAGCATAAAACTGTGGTGAGTGTGTATTGTTCGCCTGGCGGTGGCTCCGTGTCGCAGGCGACTGGCGGTGGCTCCGTGTCGCAGGCGACTGGTGGTGGCTCCGTGTCGCAGGCGACTGGCGGTGGCTCCGTGTCGCAGGCGACTGGCGGTGGCTCCGTGTCGCAGGCGACTGGCGGTGGCTCCGTGTCGCAGGCGACTGGTGGTGGCTCCGTGTCGCAGGCGACTGGCGGTGGCTCCGTGTCGCAGGCGACTGGCGGTGGCTCCGTGTCGCAGGCGACTGGTGGTGGCTCCGTGTCGCAGGCGACTGGTGGTGGCTCCGTGTCGCAGGCGACTGGTGGTGGCTCCGTGTCGCAGGCGACTGGCGGTGGCTCCGTGTCGCAGGCGACTGGCGGTGGCTCCGTGTCGCAGGCGACTGGTGGTGGCTCCGTGTCGCAGGCGACTGGTGGTGGCTCCGTGTCGCAGGCGACTGGTGGTGGCTCCGTGTCGCAGGCGACTGGTGGTGGCTCCGTGTCGCAGGCGACTGGTGGTGGCTCCGTGTCGCAGGCGACTGGTGGTGGCTCCGTGTCGCAGGCGACTGGTGGTGGCTCCGTGTCGCAGGCGACTGGTGGTGGCTCCGTGTCGCAGGCGACTGGTGGTGGCTCCGTGTCGCAGGTGACTGGTGGTGGCTCCGTGTCGCAGGCGACTGGCCGTATTTAACGTATACATTTTAAGTCGTGGGAGTAATCTAAAGAGAAAGACAACATGAACACCACAGAACTCCATTCACCTGGGCTCTCGAAACGCGGACCCCACGAGTGTGAGGCAGAAGCTCTATCGACCGACCTTGAGTAGTCTTTACCACAGAATTCCTTTGTAGGATGGAGGGATAGGTGGCAGGATCTTTGGCAGCGAGGGCAGTAAGATATGGGATGGCGCGGGGTAGAGGTGGCGGCGACGGCGGTGGCGGCGGCGTGGACTGCTTCTGCCAAGTTTAACACTCATCATCGTTCCAGTTCAGTAACTGACACACAACTGTCTTAACACACAAGGGTAAAGTCATCACTGGTGGGTCACGGAGACCAGGCGCCACACTGGGGTCACGGAGACCAGGCGCAACACCTGGGGTCACGGAGACTAGGCGCCACACTGGGGTCACGGAGACCAGGCACCACACCTGGGGTCACGGGGACCAGGCACCACACCTGGGCTCACGGAGACCAGGCGCCACACCTGGGGTCACGGGGACAGCAATGTGACAACATCACTCCTCTGGTGTTTGTTATCTAGGTGTTCGGGCCTATAATGTGTGGCTTGACAGCTCCCTCGAGGATTTAAGAGTCAAAAACACAATTCCAATAAATTGACGACATATGTCGCTATCTTCGGTATCCCCTGGGGATTTAGTATGTTTAACTGGTTTGTTTTGATAACTTAAGGTCTGGGGTAAAACTTGGAACATTCAACTTCAGTTTTATATTTTAGAACAAATATGTAGTGCTCGAAATTAAATAAAAAAGCTGTTGATAAACTAAGGAGTAATATATGTCTTTCCTGGACTGTGTCCCCCTCGTCACTCCCTTTAAGTATTGTCAGCCGGAGTGACAGTTAGCTGACACTTACTTCAGGCACCACTCCCACCTGAGACACTCCAGGCACCACCACCGCAGGGGAGCCGGTCGGCCGAGCGGACAGCACGCTGGACTTGTGATCCTGCGGTCCTGGGTTCGATCCCAGGCGCCAGCGAGAAACAATGGGCAGAGTTTCTTTCACCCTATGACCCTGTTACCTAGCAGTAAAATAGGTACCTGGGTGTTAGTCAGCTGTCACGGGCTGCTTCCTGGGGGTGGAGGCCTGGTCGAGTACCGGGCCGCGGGGACACTAAAAAAAGCCTCGAAATCATCTCAAGATAACCACCTGAGACACCCCAGGCACCACCTGAGACACTCCAGGCACCACCTGAGACACTCCAGGCACCACTCCCACCTGAGACACTCCAGGCACCACCTGAGACACTCCAGGCACCACTCCCACCTGAGCCTATCACCAGAGGAAGAAGAAGGCGTCTTAATTCCACAAAGAGCCGGACCCAGCCAGCACACCGACGCCACGTTACTGAAAGAAAAAGTTAAAATGAGCTTCAGCAAGTTCGCAAATACACGAGAAAGGGGGAGCAGGAGCTAGCAGATCACACTAGTGAAACACGCTCGCAGAGGGAGCGGAACTAGCAGAGCACGCTCCCAGAAGGAGCGGAGATAGCAGAACACGCTCGCAGAGAGAACGGAGCTAATAGAACACGCTAGAGGAGGGAGAAGGAGCTAGTACAACACGCTTGTATAGGGAACAGAAGGGAACTATCAGGAGAAAACGCCAAACCATTACAACTATAGAACTTGGAAGAGGTCAGGATAAGGATTTAAGATGGAACGGGGGAAGGAATGGTACCCAACCACTTGGACCATCGGGGATTGAACGCAGACCTGCATGAAGCGAGACCATCGCTCTACCGCTCAGCCCAAGTGGTTGATGAGCTAGTATAAGGAGAAAGAGCTAGCACAAAAGGCTAGCAGATTGAGCAGGAGCTAGCAGTACACGCTAGCAGGTTGAGCAGGAACTAGCAGTAGACGGTAACAAAGCAGGAGCAGCTGGCAAAATATCTTATAGACCGTAGACTGCACCTCGCCTTACCATCTACCGACAACCTGTCCTCTTTAAAATATTGTCGCCTTTGACCGTTTGCCCGTATGGTCGAAAGTGGACGTAATTTGAAAATGAAAATAAACTTGAGATTTTTTTTTTCAACAACAGTTAGTTAAGGATCCTCTGAAAGGTTATGTGGACAGGAAATTCTCATAAAGTTTCAAAATGTTATGAATAACATTAATTGAAAGTTTCCTCTCCTAACCTTTCCGAGTAAGCCGAACGACTCAAACAGAAAACGGGACAGTACGTCACTTTCGTGAGCCGATTTCATTTCAAATTGCGTCCACTTTTGGCCATAGCGCGCATACGAGCCTAAAGCGACGTTATTTTTAAGAGTACGGGTTACTACAAGACCAAGAGAGAACTGGCAGGTCACATCACACATACTGCCTCAGCAGACCAATGAGAATGCAAAAAAAGATTACCCAGTAACACCTCACCTTATCCTACATGATATATATAATGTCAAATCTGTTAATATGTATTACAGAGTCACTATAGCCCGTGTTACATGAACATTTCCTTCTGAGTAGCTGAATCTAAAACAACGACAACAACAACAACGTTAATATGTACATACAGTTCCGCTCCTGTGCCAGGTAAGTCCACTACGGGCTCACCATAGCCCGTGCTACTTGGAACTTTTGTTCCGAATAGCTGAATCTAAAACAACAACAACAGTTAATACGTAATCACTTTCTCTATGCCTCCGAAGATGCTAAAGAGAGCTTCTGCGAAACACGTCCTTAATTAAGTGACGCACATCAAGGTCCAATAGCATTGTAAAAGGAACGTTGACGAGTTAATTTTTAAACTTCCTTCCCTCAGGTGTGTGTGTGTGTGTGTGTGTGTGTGTGTGTGTGTGTGTGTGTGCGCGCGTGTGTGTGTGTGTGTGTGTGTGTGTGTGTGTGTGTGACAACATTATGTATAATAACACAAATTTAAACTGTTTCCCTTGACGCGATCCGCTAGTAACTTAAAAATAACACGTTTCATGAGAGATTTTTTCCGGCGCAAAAAACTTCGCAACAACTTTTAACTGCGAAAGAGATGCACCAATGTTGATCAGATTAGAATTGCAAATGTTTCTAAGCGGCGGAGAAGTATCAGGGTGAGGCATGGGAGGGGGGAGGGAGGGAGGGGGGACATATGTATTGTCCTCAGAACTTAGTATCTCTAAGCCATTTTTAACACCAAGACACCCCCCCCTTACACCCCAACACACAAATAGAAAACTTGTACATTTGTGAGAGACGAAGACGACGGATGAGAGGTTTTCTTAGTCCTCGGAGTGGCTATTAGTTGGATTATATATATATATATATATATATATATATATATATATATATATATATATATATATATATATATATATATATATGACAGTATCAGACCACGGAGGAAAAAACGAAACGGTAATTTCCTTAAGTACTTTCGTATTTAATAATACATCTTCAGAAGGGTAATATATTTATATTTGATAAATATTTATCAAACATAAATATTTTATATTTATTGGTAGGAAGTATTTTTGGTAGTAGTCTTTCTTGTAGACATATGTTATTGAATGTGACAGAAAGGGTTAGGCCAATGATGCTAGCACGAATCTTCTCTATTTTCGCATGTTTTTCTTCAGTTTAGGAAGTTGGAAATTAACTCTAAAGTTCATTTTACAATTTTCTTATGGCTTAAAGCAAAGAGATGCATTTCATTAACCGTTGTCAACATTATCAACAACAGACTTCAACTAAAAACAAGAATTTTAACATCTGTATATATAGCCAGGGTTGAGGTGAAAGTAAAGCACCTTAGTTATTGGCCAATAGTCCCATTGAACCAAACCAATCTCTGAAAGGTATTTCCGAAAACTTTAAAACAAATATTTGCAATGTATAACTTACAAATATGAAGAAGCTGTGAGAGCCGCCATTCTTTCTCACCTTTCAGCTATCGCTTCCTCTTTGAGTCCTTACTCTTTACCTTAAAGAAGTTACCCACATCAAAGACAAAATCTTCCCACCCAATAACGCAGTATTTTTTTCTTAACATAACCATATTGGCATTTATGCAGCTACCCTTGACTATGTAAGAGGATTACATAGTTTTTCAAGAGCTACTACCTATGTGATACTAAAAATTCCTGTCCTGCAGGATGACAGTATCAAAGGAAAGCAAAAAATAGTACCATATATTTTTCAAAGTATATATAAACAGAGTTTCCCGAGGGAGCTGAGACAAGGGGTGTTTAGGAGAGATTTAAGATAGCAGTTTATTTTGCATAATGGCTGTAAAATTGAAAAATGTATTAACTTGGCGCTATATTCTAGAATTAACAACGGCAGCTATGCTTACCCCGTGACATAATGCGGCTCGTGTGATCTATGGGTATCGCGCACCCACTCTCCTACTTGGTAACCGATCCCACGACACTACCACACACCACCAGGAGTCCTGCACTCTCCCGAGGCCCAGGAGCACGCTTACCTTCACCACCAGGAGTCCTGCACTCTCCCGAGGCCCAGGAGCACGCTTACCTTCACCACCAGGAGTCCTGCACTCTCCCGAGGCCCAGGAGCACGCTCACCTTCACCACCTGGAGTCCTGCACTCTCCCGAGGCCCAGGAGCGTGCTCACCTTCACCACCTGGAGTCCTGCACTCTCCCGAGGCCCAGGAGCACGCTAACCTTCACCACCTGGAGTCCTGCACTCTCCCGAGGCCCAGGAGCACGCTCACCTTCACCACCTGGAGTCCTACACTCTCCCGAGGCTCTAGGAGCACGCTCACCTTCACCACCAGGAGTCCTACACTCTCCCGAGGCTCTAGGAGCACGCTCACCTTCACCACCTGGAGTCCTACACTCTCCCGAGGCTCTAGGAGCACGCTCACCTTCACCACCTGGAGTCCTACACTCTCCCGAGGCTCTAGGAGCACGCTCACCTTCACCACCTAGAGTCCTACACTCTCCCGAGGCTCTAGGAGCACGCTCACCTTCACCACCAGGAGTCCTACACTCTCCCGAGGCTCAGGAGCACGTTCACCTTCACCACCAGGAGTCCTACACTCTCCCGAGGCTCTAGGAGCACGCTCACCTTCACCACCAGGAGTCCTACACTCTCCCGAGGCTCTAGGAGCACGCTCACCTTCACCACCAGGAGTCCTACACTCTCCCGAGGCTCTAGGAGCACGCTCACCTTCACCACCTGGAGTCCTACACTCTCCCGAGGCTCTAGGAGCACGCTCACCTTCACCACCTGGAGTCCTACACTCTCCCGAGGCTCTAGGTGCACGCTCACCTTCACCACCAGGAGTCCTACACTCTCCCAAGGCTCAGGAGCACGTTCACCTTCACCACCAGGAGTCCTACACTCTCCCGAGGCTCTAGGAGCACGCTCACCTTCACCACCTGGAGTCCTACACTCTCGTACGTTTTCTTTATGTCGGGATCATGTTCACAATGTTCCATTTGTCTCATATATTAGGCTTTTCAGATCCTTTTATTTATGTTCATAAGTCATGGTTCTCAGCTTCTTTTATTGAACAGTGACTTATTTATTGTATATTCCAGAAAACAATCCTTTAGTTAGCCTGCATATGCTGCTGGTGTTATTCGGTTTGTGTCTACTTCTAGAGATAGGATTTGTATATTTGCTCGTGCGTGCATGCGTGTCTATGTGCATGCGTCAACCTTTTGAGTATCATAAATATGTAAGCAGATGGCGACGCAGCAGGAACTGCTGCTCTTGAAAACAATAAATACAACCTTTTAGCAACTTCTGAAAACTTCTGGAGAGATTCTGGTTGTTTTGTTTTGGATCTGGAAACATTTGTGTTTTGTGAGGAGAGTGGAGTAACTGGGGCTCAGACTGGAGCCTGGGGATTGGGGGGCAGGAGCTGGCAGTACAGACTGTGTGCAGCACCACTTACATACCTGCCCTTAAGTGTTTTAAGATGACTGTGTTTTGGGGCAGATCTCGGTGGTTGTGTTCCCGGCTTGGGTACCTGTTGCTCCTACTTTTGATAACTGACAAGTCTCCCGGCTATAATTTACGTTTTCTTTGTATCATCTCAGAGTTGTAGCCACGAAAAACGTGTCACTGGCATATAGTTCTTCATTTATATATATATATATATATATATATATATATATATATATATATATATATATATATATATATATATATATTATATATATATATATATATATATATATATATATATATATATATATATATATATATATATATATATATATATATATATATATATATATATATATATATATATATATATATATATATATATATAGGGGTACCACCACTGGTTTAATTAAAGGGACCCACATCCTCGAAGAAGAAAATAAATAGTGTTCAGAGAAGACCTTGTGGATTCTCACTGAATACTTTAATCTTTTTCTCTCCTACCACCCCTATTATTTTTTATTTTTTTTTGATTTTATTGCAATGTTACAGTTTACAGAAAACACACACTTATATAACAATATACCAATCAGTGTTCGAAGACCTCGTCCAGTTCCTCGGGGGTCGGGTGCGTACCCAAGATACAACACGCATTTCCCCTCTGAACAGCGACACTGAGGCGCTGGAACATAAAACTGGCCGCTCTTGGGTCTCTAGTCTTCCCAATGAGTTCCTCGCCCAGCTCCTTCAGGAACTTAAGTGCACATTTACCCCAGGCGCCCAGAGTCTCAGAGCCTATTGGCACGAACCTGTAACAACGTTCTAGGTCCCTGTACTTGTTAGTTTTCTGGGTCTCCCTGAAGGTGGCCGCCCCGCCTCCCTCAGCTGCGCTGTAAGGTAGATAGGTATCAGCCAATGTGGATGCACACGTGTAGTCCCACACGACCTGTTTACCTTCTCTCCACGGCTGCAGGGTGACTCCATCTGGGCGTTTTTGGCTGTTGTCAGGCCTGCACAACTGAGGTTCCCTTTGTGCTGGGCACCCAGCTGAAGCCAAACTTCTCTTGATGATGTCATTGACTGCTTCATGTCTGGCAATCTTTCCCTGTGTCTTACGACAGATGAGACCATGGCTGCCGTATTGGTCTGCCCGTGCATGGCCGTGCATATATATATATATATATATATATATATATATATATATATATATATATATATATATATATATATATATATATATATTTATATATGACAGTGTCAGACCACGGAGGAAAATTGAAACAGGAATTTCCTTAAGTACTTTCGTATATTAATACATCTTCAGAAGGTCCTTCTGAAGATGTATTAATATACGAAAGTACTTAAGGAAATTCCTGTTTCAATTTTCCTCCGTGGTCTGACACTCACATTTTTAATCACGTGTTTATTTTCGTGATTTACACACACACACACACACACACACACACACACACACACACACACACACACACACACACACACACACACACACACACACACACACAATCTGGAGAGAAGGGACTTCGTGACAAATCGCCAACATGGATTCAGGGAGGGTAAATCTTGCCTTACAGGCTTGATAGAATTCTACGATCAAGTGACACAGATTAAGCAAGAAAGAGAGGGCTGGGCGGACTGCATTTTCTTGGATTGTCGGAAAGCCTTTGACACAGTACCGCATAAGAGGCTGGTACATAAGCTGGAGAGACAGGCAGGTGTAGCTGGTAAGGTGCTCCAGTGGATAAGGGAGTATCTAAGCAATAGGAAGCAGAGAGTTACGGTGAGGGGTGAGACCTCCGATTGGCGTGAAGTCACCAGTGGAGTCCCACAGGGCTCTGTACTCGGTCCTATCTTGTTTCTGATATATGTAAATGATCTCCCGGAGGGTATCGATTCATTTCTCTCAATGTTTGCGGACGATGCTAAAATTATGAGAAGGATTAAAACAGAAGAGGACTGTTTGAGGCTTCAAGAAGACCTAGACAAGCTGAAGGAATGGTCGAACAAATGGTTGTTAGAGTTTAACCCAACCAAATGTAATGTAATGAAGATAGGTGTAGGGAGCAGGAGGCCAGATACAAGGTATCATCTGGGAGAGGAAATTCTTCAGGAGTCAGAGAAGGAAAAAGACTTGGGGGTTGATATCACGCCAGACCTGTCTCCTGCAGCACATATCAAGCGGATAACATCAGCGGCATATGCCAGGCTGGCCAACATACGAACGGCATTCAGAAACTTGTGTAAAGAATCATTCAGAACTTTGTATACCACATATGTCCGGCCAATCCTGGAGTATGCAGCCCCAGCATGGAGTCCATATCTAGTCAAGGATAAGACTAAACTGGAAAAGGTTCAAAGGTTTGCCACCAGACTAGTACCCGAGCTGAGAGGTATGAGCTACGAGGAGAGACTACGGGAATTAAACCTCACTTCGCTGGAAGACAGAAGAGTTAGGGGGGACATGATCACCACATTCAAGATTCTGAAGGGGATTGATAGGGTAGATAAAGACAGTCTATTTAACACAAGGGGACACAGGTGGAAACTGAGTGCCCAAATGAGCCACAGAGATATTAGAAAGAACTTTTTTAGTGTCAGAGTGGTTGACAAATGGAATGCATTAGGAAGTGATGTGGTGGAGGCTGACTCCATACACAGTTTCAAGTGTAGATATGACAGAGCCCGATAGGCTCAGGAATCTGTACACCTGTTGATTGACGGTTGAGAGGCGGGACCAAAGAGCCAGAGCTCAACCCCCGCAAACACAACTAGGTGAGTACACACACACACACACACACATATATATATATATATATATATATATATATATATATATATATATATATATATATATATATATATATATTTATTTATACATTTATTTATTTGCATATATATATGTAATATATGCAATTTTCAAAATTAATTTTTAATCGCGCAAAGTATTCTGCCGAAAAGTCTTGAATCTCCAATTTAACTTTCTGTTCCATCGCAGAATTTAATAGCTGAAAAAATTTAAATTTAGCATCAGACTATGTAACCCTCCATATGGTCTAGAGTAGCTGCATACATCCAGGTGTACCTAAATATGACATTAAACAAGTAAACATTATTCTCGCAATTATTTGACATCCATTTTACATCATATATTGAATCCAGAATTCAATCAATGTTTCATTAGCAATATCAATGGCTCGGAGCCCCAAGCGTAAATCATCTGGAAAATATTTCAAGTTCCTGATTTGTTTCTTGAAATCCCCGAGACGTTTTTTGTGTGGCGGTGTGACAAGACGCGGACGCGGGACCGCCAGGTCGAGTTGAAAATGAGAAAGTCGGTGAGCGGAATGAAGCCCCTCCCTCCCTCCGGCTCCAGTCTTGCCGAGAAGATACTTACACTCTTCGATTCTAAGTTTTTCAACAAGGTGAATGTGGGAGCCTTTTTGCCACCAGTGTTGGTGCTGGTGTTGGAGCCGTGGCAGGGAAGGAATGGACCTTAAAATTATAATATATTCTTGAAAGATATATTTTCTGGCCCTCAATAGTTGTTATAGTGTTGAGAACACTTTTGATTATAGCTTTTCATTAACTTTTTTATTATTTTGCAAATAGTTTGATTTCTCATAGTGTCAAGGTTGTCATGACCCGCACAAGCTTACACCTCTTTTGTAACTAACGCTTCTGACATGTTGTTGTTGTTGTTGTTTTAGATTTAGCTACTCAGAACGAAATGTCCATGTAGCACGGGCTATGGTGAGCCCGTAATTGAGTTCCGTTATTCGCGATAACCTTGTTACTCTGATATTTGGGTCAAAGTTTTAAATGGAGTTGGGGTTTCCTCCTTTTTCCCTGTTTCTTTTTCGCTTCTGTTTTAGTCGTGTTTTAATAACATTATCTTGGTGGCGGATGTAGGTGCAGAATGTTCACTAGTGAGTCCCATTCTTTAACGGCTTTTCTAATTATTGTAGTGGCTGTGGAATGTGCATCTAATGCAGCTGCTGTTGTTGGATTAATGATTAGTTAGATGCGCAGGGCTTCAGTAGCTTCGCATTCCAGTAAGTAGTGCAATAGTGGCGCCTGTGCTTCTGTTCCACAGATATGATACTCTTTAACTATTGGGTTTATTACCTCCCAGCATCACTTGTAACCAAGTCTTAGTCTATGTATGGCTACTGCAATGTCTCTGGATATCTTTTTGTCAGGCTCGAAAGAGTAGTACCCAGTGGCTTGTTCGTACCATATCACAGTGGATCTTCCTTCCGCTACTTTGGCTCCGTGGCGACTTTTGATAGACCATATCAACACTTTCAGCAGCCTCCTCCATGGGAAGAATCGAGTCTAAAGATTATCATTGAAGGACTACCAGTTAAAAAATCAGCATGTGACTCGCAGAGGCTCAAAGCAGTTATAAAACAACAAATGGAAACCATCTCAAGACCTACAACGACTCACATCTTCACAGACGGATCAGTTGATCAAGAAAGAGGTTCTGCTGGAGCAGCAGTTTACACTAACAACCACGAAGCTTACTGGAGCATGAATAGTGGGTGCTCAACATTGCAGACAGAATTACATGCTTCTGACAACAGAAGTGATCCTTTATAACTTGTCAGGGTAAGATGTCATAAGGAAGCGCAGTAACTGGAAAGATTAAAAAAATAATGAAGAAGGCGCAATTGGCAGATAAATTCAGTACTGGAATTTTCGCCACACAAGAAAACAACAAATCACAAAGCCAAACACGTCCATTTTAAGCCTGAGTTAACGTAATCAGCAAACTCATCTTCCCTTGAGAGGTCGTCTCTTTGGTGGTCGGGAGCCGTCAGGGCTCCGGTGCTGGCTCGGGGCGTTAAGCTCACGCATCTTGTTTGTTGGGCTTCACCCAGTCTTCACCTACTGCTGCTGCTGCTGCTGCTGTTACTGCTGCTGTTACTGCTGTTACTGCTGTTGCTGCTGCTGCTGTTACTGCTACTGCTGCTGTTACTGCTGCTGCTGTTACTGCTACTGCTGCTGTTACTGCTGTTACTGCTGCTGCTGCTGTTACTGCTGCTGTTACTGCTGTTACTGCTGTTGCTGTTACTGCTGCTGTTACTGCTGCTGTTACTGCTGCTGCTGCTGCTGCTGCTGCTACTACTGCTGCTGCTGCTGCTGCTGCTGCTGCTGCTGCTGTTACTGCTGCTGTTACTGCTGTTACTGCTGTTGCTGCTGCTGCTGCTGTTACTGCTGCTGTTACTGCTGTTACTGCTGTTGCTGCTGCTGCTGCTGTTACTGCTGTTACTGCTGTTGCTGCTGCTGCTGCTGCTGCTGCTACTGCTGCTGCTGCTGCTGCTGTTACTGCTGCTGCTGTTACTGCTACTGCTGCTGTTACTGCTGTTACTGCTGCTGCTGCTGCTGTTACTGCTGCTGCTGCTGCTGCTGCTGCTGCTGTTACTGCTGTTGCTGCTGCTGCTGTTACTGCTGCTGCTGCTGCTGCTGCTGCTGCTGCTGCTGCTGTTACTGCTGCTGTTACTGCTACTGCTACTGCTGCTGCTGCTGCTGTTACTGCTGCTGCTGCTGCTGTTACTGCTGCTGCTGCTGTTACTGTTGCTGCTGCTGCTGTTACTGCTACTGCGGCTGCTGCTGCTGTTACTGCTGCTGCTGCTGCTGTTACTGCTGCTGCTACTGCTGCTGCTACTGCTACTGCTGCTGCTGCTGCTGTTACTGCTGCTGTTACTGTTACTGCTGCTGCTGCTGCTGTTACTGCTGCTGCTGCTGCTGCTGCTGTTACTGCTGCTGCTACTGCGGCTGCTGCTGCTGTTACTGCTGCTGCTGCTGCTGCTGCTGCTGCTGCTGTTACTGCTGCTGCTACTGCGGCTGCTGCTGCTGTTACTGCTGCTGCTACTGCTGCTGCTGCTGCTGCTGCTGCTGCTGCTGCTGCTGCTGCTGCTGCTGTTACTGCTACTGCTGCTGCTGCTGCTGTTACTGCTGTTACTGCTGCTGCTACTGCTGCTGCTGTTACTGCTGCTGCTGCTGCTGCTACTGCTGCTGCTGCTACTGCTGCTGCTGCTGCTGCTGCTGCTGCTGCTGTTGCTGCTGCTGCTGTTACTGCTGCTGCTGCTGCTGCTGCTGCTACTGCTACTGCTGTTGCTGCTACTGCTGCTACTGCTGTTACTGCTGCTGCTGCTGTTGCTGCTGCTGCTGTTGCTGTTACTGCTGCTGCTGCTGCTGCTGCTGCTACTGCTGCTGCTACTGCTGTTGCTGCTGCTGCTACTGCTGCTGCTACTGCTGTTGCTGCTGCTGCTACTACTGCTGCTGCTACTGCTGCTGCTGCTGCTGTTGCTGCTGCTGCTGCTGCTGTTACTGCTGCTGCTGCTGTTGCTGCTGCTGCTGCTGCTGCTACTGCTACTGCTGCTGCTACTGCTGTTACTGCTGCTGCTGCTGCTCCTTGTCTCTAAACGGGAAAGGCGTACATTGCCTTCAATACTGCTGTGAGAAATGATCATAAGAAATTGTCGTTATTCTCTAAAGCGGTAAATCTCGATAAGCAATTAGGATTTATGAATGTGGATTATTAATATATTCCATTGTTTTAAATCCACTTTAGAGCTTTCCGCTGAGAGACTGACGACAGTAGTTGAAGGAGCAAATTACAGGAAGTGACCAAGAGAACTAATTGATAAAGCATAATGTTTAATATTTTGACGTAATAGATGACATATGTATAAATTAATATTAATATAATACAAAGCCCAATGATGATACAAAACCAGTAAAATATATTGTATAGAATGTACATTTTACTGGTTAATTTTATGATTCTAATCTTGATTAGAAACTAGTGAGACTACTGGTGTGATCTTGTCTTACCAGTAATCTTACTAGTAAGACAAGGGTTACCAGTCTTACCAGTACTCGTACGCCTTGTCTTACCAGTAACTTACTGGTAAGACAAGGGTTACCAGTCTTACTAGTACTCGTACCCCTTGTCTTACCAGTAATCTGGGTCGAGTTCAGCGCCGTGTGGGCTGTACTCGAGACTCTTAAAGACATTAGTAGTACCAAGAGTAGCGACAT